TCAGTCTTTTCCTCAGAATAATGCTCTTGCAATTTTTTTTACTTACACAGCCCTGGTTTATTAAGAAATACATAGTTAACATACACAAAAAAGAAAAGGAAATTATAAACTGTATTTTTATTAACCAAAGCATGTACTTACCATTTAAGTATATTTTCTTTTCTCCAGGTAAATATCAGAGGTTTTGGCCATTCTTGCTGAGTACCCAGAATCTGTGTTTGGGGAATTTCCACTTTATGAAGCAGATGCTGCCTCCCATTTTACTAGTGGAAAATCCAATGCTCACTTTTACTGGTCATGGAGCCAGGGGCAAGCCCATGAGCTTAGCCTATGCCCATCTGTTGCAGCCACCCTAGGCTTTGGGTTGACACCCTAAGCTGTGGTGACAAGCAGCAGCAGAAATGCAGGAGAATCGACTCCACCTGCAGTGGTGCAGCAGTAGCTCCAACATCCGATTTGATGTCTAGAGGCAGAGGCAGCGCATTGCTAGCAGCATCCCTGGTGCTCAATTTGGATAATAAAAGTTTGCAAGTAGTAATCATGGCCAGCACTTTGGTGCCAGTGCAGCCACCTTACTTGCTCTGGGGTGTGATTTTAGTATCGCGGTGACTGTACAGACTTAAGTCACCTCATCTGTCTCTCAGAGAGGGTTTGTGAGTTACCCGTATGTTTTTATAAAACCCCTTTGGCTAAGAGGACCATGGTTAGTTTCTATTGTCTACGAACAAAAGGACTCAATCAGTGGATTATTTTTCATTATATGGTTGGAATCATATTTCAACATGCTTTTGAATTGGTGGTTACTTCTACTTATGGGCTAGGAATTTCTCAAAGTAAAGTGTTTTTTCCAGTTCCAGGGCTATGTTCATAAGGGAAAGTATTAATTTGAAAAGCCAGTTACACTTATAAAGAGAGGAACTCATCTTTCCACTTTCCTGTATGTTCTTCAGGTCCATTCAACCAGCTGTCTTGTTTGCTGACTGGGTGAATTTTTTTCACAGGGCTTTGCTTATTTAACGATATAAGTTGCTGATGCCTTCATTGATCTTTTGCTCAGTGAACTCATTCTTTTTTAAAGGTTTATTGATATATTTACACAAGTTTTAAATATTCAATTGAGTAGTCTATAAGATATTTACAGAATTGTGTTGCTGGCACAATGGTCTAACTTTAGAATTCCCCTAGTCAACTCCAGAGAAATGTGTGTATTGGCAACCACTGCTCCTCCCGCTCCTTCCTCTCGGCTCTGGCACTGGGCACCGGGAAACCATGAATCTACTTTGTTTCTCATGCAACTGCAACCAGGTCATATGTAGTCTTTTGTGGCTGACCTCCTTCATCTGGTGTAATGGGTTTGGGGCTCATCCATAGAGTTCATCCATGCTGTAGCACCAATCAGTATTAAATTCCTTTTATAGATTATCCTGGAATATTTGATTTCACTGAAATACTATGCTGTGTTTACCCATTTATCCATGGATGAGCATTTGGGTCTGTTTAGTCTTTCTTGACTATTGTGAATAATGCTGCAATGACCATGCATGTGCACACTTTCTGTGATATATGTTTTTATTTCTCTTGGGAAGATATTTTGGCTTCGAATGTCTGAGATTCTTGTGATATTTCTGCTTACCATATTGAGGAACTGACAAATTGTCACAGTGGCTGCACCATTTTATACTCAATTTAACTTCAGTGTTTTTCACATTCAGTTCACCCACATTTTTGTCAAGCTGTTATTGTCTTTGATGATAGCTGTCCTAGTGATAGGTGTGATAGTGATGGATGAGAAGTGGTATTTCATTGTGATTTGGTTTGTATTTCACTTGTGGCACAAATGATTATGGAGGCTAAGAAGTGTGCTGTGTGCAAAATGAAGACATGGAAACCAGTCGGGTATACTGGTGCCTGAGGAGTAGAAGGAGCAATGGGGAAAGCCTCAGTCTGAAGGCAGAAGATCAGTATCTCGGCTGTCCCCAGCGGGCAGAAGGAGCAACCCCCCCCCCCCTCTATCTTTTGTTCTGAGGCCCTCCGGGATTGCGTGAATGACACCCTTATTGGGGAAGGCAGTTGACTTTCATTTTCTCTGAAAACACATCAGTTACACCCAGAAATAATATTTAGCCAAATGTCTGAGTACTCTGTGATCCAAACTGACACATAGAGTAATTGAGAGTGACGGAAAGTGTGTTATTTAATTTCCACTGTTTACCTAATCTTGTAGTGTCCGTAGTGAATTCTAACTTCATTTAATTTGAGCTGGAGAGAATATTTGATATGATTTTGATCTTTTAAAATTTTGAGACTTATTTTATTGAATAAGTCTCGGACAATGTTCTGTGCACACTTAGGAGACATATGTTCTGATGTTGGTACAGGGTTCTATATATGTACATGAGGTCTGGTTTATTCATAATATTTATGGTCTCTGTTTTACTATGGATTTTCTCTCTAGATATTCCATTCATGATTGAATGTGGGAGGTGCTGAAGTCTTCAACTATTACTATAAAACTGTTCATTTATCTCTTTACTTTTAACTTTTGTTTCATAACTTTGGATACTGTTAGGTACTCATATTTTTATGATTGTTGTACCTTCTTAATGACTAAGCCTTTAGTCAATATTGGGAGAAAAATTGAAGAATGTGAGAGTTTGCCCTGCCTCTCCCTTGGCAGACAGCACTGTAATCAGAATTGGTAATTGGTGCAAGAGTCCTGAGATTGTACTGTAGTCGGCAATTACAGAACAGTGAAGAGCCAAAGAAATGGAGCTGTGGATCAGAGAAGAGCAGAATAATATTATATATAATTAATATAAAAGAGTATATTATATACTGATATATTAATATATTAACAAAAAATAATGTTGATATATTAATATAATATATAATACATATATAATACTATATAAGCAGGCATTCTTATGAGGAAAAATAAGGAAGGCTGAACAATGTCATGATAAGTATGCTTAGAAAAGATAAGGCCCTCTGTGATATGTGTTTGATAGAAATAGGAAAACATTAGGGTTTTTTCATATTATTTTTAATGTATTTAAATCAAAACATAGGATTTAAACCTGCCAAATACTATCACATATACAGAGGATGGAGTTTATTAAACATACTCAGTATAATTGCCACAACTTGAAAATATTTTACTCACTAGCTACAAATTTTATGTACATTAATTTCTTACACACAGAATTTCAGTAATATATAGTAAACTACACAATGAATGACTTTGAACAGCTCCACGGAATGTGATTCTCCATTCCTGTTTGGCCCGCAGGGAAATTATTACAATCTTCTTGTTCTTCATGGCTAATGTTACACTCGATTTCCTTAGCTTTGGCACACCATCAAAGGAAAACGGAACTCACATTGTTACTCTTAGCACTTGAATTGATTTAATCCTCCTGCCTTTGAATGTGATGGAATAATTTATCTGATATCGATTAGAGGTTTTTTGAGGAAATTTTGCATTAACAAAAATCAAATCCAAATTTGGGGTAGCCAGCATTGATTTTTCACATTTATTTTGTTTTTCAGGTTTGATTTTCCAAGCTTCTTGGTATTTTGTGTGCGTTCTAAGGGTGTTGGAGCTTTGAAGTTGGACAGATCTCTTTTTATAAGAGATTCTCAGGAGCCGGAAAATATGAATTTGGCTGCTGGGTCAGAAATGTCACCATTATGAAGTTAGGAGGTAGAATAATGCAACAGCATACTGGACTACTAAAAAAAGTTAGATTGGATTCTATAAAACCATATTTGCTTTGAGAGTTTCCTAAGCATTTCACTTTGTCCACATGCGAAATAATGAAAACTTAACGTTTATTTTTTATTAACATTTTTTAAAAAAGAGAATACTTAGAAGGATACAAGGCTTTTTTTTTCAGATTTCTCTCAACATATTTTAGATTTTTCAGATGCTGATCTAAATCTAATAAACCTAGGATTTTTAACTATGTGCCCAGTGTCCTGAGGAGCAGTCCTTGACTGCAAGCAATGAAAAAGATTAACATTGGACATTAGTATTGGGATAGAGTGAACTTTGGAGGCAAATTCTTCTAAACTTTGGCAAATCTGAAAACACTGGCCTAGATTTATTTACAGTGAGTCCCACTGAAGCTGAATTGCACAGGCGTTATTCTATAATTTTTAGTGTTCAAATCCAGACACAAGGGCTAAACTCTTTTTTATTCATTTTACTATTATTGCTTACATTTCTTGAATTTAACTATTAAATCTTAGTTTAAAAGCCGTGACTATTGAGAGAATGGTGTCATTTTTTCTTTAAAACTTTAAGAGACATGATCTGGACGATATTTCTGTCACACTAGAAAGAATGGTGCTTAGAAAGCAAGACCACAACAAATCTACTCATGAAAAACTTGCAAACAAACAAAATGAGATCAGGGTGCTATTTTTTTCCTCAGAAATATCATAGCAAAAATTTGCCTACCATATGTGAAGACCTGGAGTTACATTTTTCAGATGGACTTTGTTGGTGGCTGACTATATGAGATTTGAAGACCAAACTTTCCACTCATATTCTACAGCTGAAGATGGTCCTATATGTCTTGGACACACTATTCCCCATCATTCTTAAATTTAAGAAGAAAGCTATACCTCTCTCATGGCATCCTCAGAATTTTTGACACTTTCATGTTTGATAAGCATGTATTTTTAAGGAAAGAACATATTAAAACATTATAATCAAATAATTAGATTCTAAGTAATAATAAATTTGTTTATCTAAAACATGCACACGTTTCACAGACTTTATTAGGTTGTTTGTTGCAACCCTAGAAAGATCACTTACACTGTTTCAGAGTTAATTTGAATTTAATTCTCGATGTTACATTTATTGGCTGGCTGTTTATGTCTGCACATTTATTGTTGCATTTGTTTGTGTTTATTGGTGTCATTAAAAGGAATGCAACTCAAACGCATGTGGTTAGGCTGTTTAGGCTTTGTACACTATAACAACTGATTATTTCTGACTTTGGCTCCAAAGTAGGACTGGGAGATTAATATTAGATAGCAACAGATTATCACTTGCCATTGGATAATTGCCTTTACCCTGACCTTCAGAAAAGTTATTTGGTTCTGATACTGATGAAGGCATAACAATCAAATAAATGTTACAGGTAATTATTTTAGACAGTTTGCAAAACCTAACAATATTTTGAAAATGTTTGTACAACACACTCAAATTTTCAGAGGGGTTGTGATTTCTTGAGCAGGACTGACAGTATTCCTAATTTAAGGAAAGGTGATTTGTGAGGACCGAGGAAGAGAAATTCTACACTCACAAATATTCCTTGGTTTATTCTGGTCTCAGATAATATATATATATTCTTGTAGTAAAATGGGAGTCTCTTCAGAATCCTTTCTGGGGGGACCTGGAATTATCTATGCAGAAAGAGGGCTCTGTGTGGAAGGCCTTGGGCTACAGTCACTCACCTGGTACATGTTCACATGGATCCAAACTATTATGCATCTTGCTTTTCTAAGCATTGATTCACCTGTCTACTTCCTGTCCGATTTTCCTACATGTACATTAATCTTTTTGAGCTATATTTGCTTTCACAACTCTTACAACTTTTTCCTCTCAGGATATGACATATATTCTGATAAGTTCCTCTAGCCTGTGCTCCCTCTTCCATGGAGGGGGAAGGGGAGGGGAGAGGGAGGGGGAGGGGGAGGACGACAGGATACGGCTGATAAACTTCCTCTCTGAAACTTTTCCCTTGGGCTACAAGGAAGAAACACTTGTCTGGGAGCCTGGAGGTGCCCCTGTCCACCTACACACCTTCGTGTGGCTGTGGATGGTTCCTGCCTAAAAGCCTGTAGCCAGTTACAGAGGCAAATGGGATTCTTTCCCTCTGCCTCAGAAGGCCCCTTTAGCATCTTACAACCTACCTAATTAGAACAAGAGTCTGTGAAAAATAAAATAAAGAGGATCATAGGAGTTTTGTTTGTTCCTTTAAGGTCTTAAATTTGACTACAACTTAACTTGGCATTTAAAATATATAATGATCAAAATTACATGTAATTTTTTTCTTTTGAAATGACTTTCTCAGACAAAATAAGAGAAAGACATGTAGATAAACCTAGTGATTTGATTAAGTTTCCTTTTCATTTGAATGTCTTTAAAAGTTGGTACAAAATGAGTTTTCTTGAGATTCCATTGCTTCTAAGTTTTTGAGGTTAATTTTCCATCACGACTGTAGGAAAATGAGTCATTTAACTTTTCCATTCTATGTCTGTAGTTGAAAACATTTCATTTTATTCAGTCTTGGTTTATCTTCACTATTATATTTTAAACTTAAATGTTTTGGAAAAAAACTATGTCATTTTAGTGTCACAAATGTACACGGCAATTTTTAAAAGAGCAAAACTGAAACCTTTACAAATATTTTTCAGATACATATTCTTGCTTGGCATATGATTCCGAGTTTTCAAGGGATACACTTAAAGCCCATTTTGCTGTGTTTGGGGGTGGTGGTGAGGGAGCTAATATTTCAGTAGCATCTTTGTTATATTTATGTGCAGTCTGTCTCAATTTAAGCACAGCTGCCTAAAAATTGTCCTTCTGCTTCCAGAGAGTGTGAGACAGCAGAGGTGTCAGGAGAAGGGGCACCCGCAGCGACCCTGACCCCAGCAAGCAGTCAGAATCCCTCATCCACCGAGGTGTACGCGGAGCTCACGAAGCTGGCGGCGGTGGAGGTGGACTTGGAGTTCCTGCGGGAGCAGACCCCCGAGTCCGCACCTCTGGCCGTCGCTCTATTCTGGCGACTGGACCTGGCGCTATCCCCGTTGCTGGGGTCGAACACCACGCTCATGGACTCCATCCTGGTCACCGTGTACAGGCTGCTCTGTCGCGTCGGGTGGAACCTGGTGGCCTTCAGCTCCAGTTCGTCGTAGCTGGAGACGTGGATGAAAGGGCACCAGCGGAAGGCCTGCTTGAAGCCAGCGCGAAATCTGAGGAGAAGGAGGCCACGGAAAGGATAGATCACTTTCCAAGGGACACTCCCCCAGGCCCCGGGAAACCCTGCTGAAGGCCTGTGAGCCAGCTCCGCTTGGAGCTTGACTTCTAATCAAACTGAGTCTAGGCCCCAGTGTTGGCACTCGGCTTCTACGTTCCTATTCTAATGGGATCTTAGTTTCTCCTGAATGATCAGCAAGTTACCACCTCGCAAAAGCACACACCAGGTTATCCACAGGCCAAAACCGTGTAGTTTTCTGTCATACTTTTACACGTTTATGTGACCTCGACTGAATTAGGCTGGCTCCTTAGGGTGCTTAAAACTGGCATACTGTGTATCAAGATAGCTTCTCTAGGAAAAATCACACATTTATAATAAAAGTCTCATTTAACCTGAGAATTAATTATTAATGTTTTTATCTAATTATACACGGAAGTGTGAAATCTTCATCTTCATAAATCACACTAAGTCAATTAAGAGCAGATGTGCTGCTTGTGGGTGGCTTAAACTGAGAGGCAGCTTGTGCAATTAGTGAAGAAGAGTGAGTGTTAATTGAGCTAATTAAGTATTTAACAAACTTCAGGCCCAGTGTGGTGCAGCTCCAACTGAGAACGCTCAGATTTAGCTTGTTCACTGAACTTCCAGAAAGAGCCGACTGTCAGCGCATAGCGCACCTCGGCTTAGAAGGGAATTGTCGACTCTGAAATCTATGCACTGAGCCACTAAATAATATTTTTTTTAAAGCTAGAAATGACATGTCAACTTTTTATGTAGATTTAAATTTGAGTCTTAATGTCCCCACTTTTAAAAATATTTTACAAACATCTTTCCCTTTTCTTATTGCTGCTTCTACACCCGCACAGAAATGGTTTTTTGTGTTTGTTTTTATGTGTGGAGGATTGAACTCAGGACCTTGTGTTTGTGAGGCAGGCAGGGTACCACTGAGCTATATCTCCGGGCCCAGAAACATCTGTTTTGAAGTCCGTACAGATTACCCTTTCTAATACAGCCCACTTGCCCATGCCTCAGTCTCTCCATCCTACAGGAATTACCCATGGAAGTACCTTCCTTCCCTCCTGGATTTCAACACAGTTTCAGTTCACTACCTTCAATCATGCGGGCATTTCTCTCTCTCAGGCAGGTAAAATTCTGAAGGGCGTGGAGAGAGAAGTTGGCCCATAGACAAACTGCCCAGTCAGAACCTCTAAGAACACTGTTTTGAACATGCAGTCTCCACAAAGCAGGAGGGAACCTTAAAAAATCAGGCTCTGTACTTTCAGTGGATTTTGACATCTCCTTTCTTTCTGGCTTTTAAATGAACACCTAGGAACTAGGACAACAAATGCTGCTAGAGAAGGCAGGGGGGACGGAACCTTGCCCAGTAGCCCTGTTTTTACCTCTTATTTAGACAGCAGTAGATGATGGGGTTGTACATGGTCGAGCTCATGGCCAGCCAGAAGCTAGCCAGGTAAACCTGCTGGATGTATTTCCACCTGTTCAGCTGCTGATAGATTGCGGTGAGGATGAAGTAAATGTGATAGGGGAGCCAGCAGATGGCAAAGGTCACCACAACAATAATCATCATTTTTACAACCTGGAGAGAAAGAAGTCATTTAGGGGAAATTAAAAAATCATTAGATGTAATAATTTCAGTAGCTTGCTGCAAACCATAGTTTTCCACCTAAAATACACAGCATGTCTAAGGAATAGTCAACATATTAAAAATGGTGAAGAGTACTATACAAAGAGACATATTATGCAGATGTTATATATGGAAAGTAATGAAGGTGAATTTCCAGAAAGTGTATTGTGCCATGATTCCGTCTCTACTTACCCAATGATGAGTGGCACTGATTGAAACATAAACAAATGTATTTTAATTAGCCTGGAGGAAGTGTTTACAAAAGCCCATAGATCCACTGGAGATGGAAGCAGGAGCTCATGTTGCACAAGAGTGGAGCCATTATATTTAGGGAAAGCAACTAAGTCACTAGGTGGGCACAGTAAGGGTCAGCGGCTGGGCTGCTCTCCATTATGTATTATAGTCTGATTGTAGCTTAAGGACATTCAGATTTCTTTCACACCATGCTCAGTAGGCAACCTTCTGAATTAATTTGGTTTCTTTTATGTTGGAAAAATTGCTTTAAATACTGATTATGAATACTTACAAAAGTCTGAAGAACATCCACTAACTTTAAGTGTGTAAATAGGCAATCGGCTTATATGACTGGCTTATAATTGGAGTTTGATAAGCACTAAGGCATTTCCTGGGATTCCATCATTTTGAACCATAGTAACCTGGAAGGCCATGGTCATGGTTATATGCTTGGAGCTCAATAGATACAGAATGTACGAATGCTGAAGGACAATGTAGCATTTGTACAAGAGGTTGAGTGGGAGGATGTTTTGTGTGTCTCTAGTTCATGTCTATAAATATGGAAACATGAAAGCTAGAACCAAAGGCACTGATGACACTGAGCAGCATGGCTTTGTGTTCAGTACTTTCTGATTATCTTATTTCATGTATCTCATCATTAATCAGTCTCATAGATCTGGACATTATAAAATGTCTAGAAAAAGGTATATTAAAATAATTTTGAGGCTTACCAGCTGTCAGGGTAATAAAAATCAGAGGAAATCTTATGAGGCAGGTTAGAACTAGGAGAATACATCGTTTACGATCTGGACTTGTCATTTGACCATAAAGTTATGAATTCTGATGAAAGTTGGCAAGGTTAAGAGTCATGAGAGACATTATTCTAGAAATAGACAAAACAGGAAGTGGATTACTATGGAAGGCGAAGGTCCCCTCAGGGCCTAACTACTGTACAACCAGGTGACCGGGGCTGACCCAATGGGAAATTGGCCACTGGAGCAGAAAATCTGGGTCAACAGCTCACAGAATGTCATCATTGGGCAACCATGGAAAGTCCTTTGATTTCCTCAGGATTTGTCAAACTGTATTTTTTTTCTGAAGAATGACGTTCACATTTCTGCATGTTATCTCATATTTATTATATTTACATATTAGTGGCGTCTAGTCAGAGCCATATTTTAATTCACATATCTGGAATATTGCACATGATTACCAAATTACTGTTTTTTAATTGCACATTAGACACTGAAGCAAAGACTAAAAAATTTGACCACTGTGATTCATGGGTCTTGAAAATTCAGACTCTGAAATCTTCATTTCCTTCTTCTGGTTGAAAACATTTGTTGAATATCATTTTTGTCTGGGAAATCATAGTGGGAAATATAATGACAGAGGACAAATGCCTTACTTTGAAGCTTACAATATAATAACAGAAGTAAAAATGTAAAATCTTTGTTAAAAGGCAATGAAATGTGAGTATAAAAATATTTCAGTACAACTGAAAATAATATTTTGAGAGTGTACTTGTCTACTGTGATGAAGAACGACTGAATGGTGTCTGCTAACTAGTCTGAGGGGACACGAGACAGAAAGGAATAGGTTTATTGACAGTTTTATTCTTGAATATAGGAAGTCTACTCTTCCTGGGGAAGCTCCAGCCGAGCTCTCACCCTGGAGCTTTCTCTCTGGCTCCCCCCTCTGCCTGGAGCGCTCTGCCGCCGATTATTCTTATTGGCTAACTTGCTCATTTCCTTAAGAATCTTTGTCCAGTTGTCATTTTCTTTCCTGTGACTCCTGTCCTGTTTTGACCAGCATATTTAAAAAAATCAAGCCTGTCCTTTCTGCACAACCAGAAACCATTAACTTTCTCCTTCTTTTCAGTTGTTTTTACTTTACTTTTTCTTTTCTTGAGCCAGAATATAAAAGACATTTCTGCTTGTTTTGATGTATTCCAGCCACTTAGACAATATTTCACAATAAAGAGTGATCAAGGCAGGGGATTGTGATACACCCTGCCTTCAGTTTGTCGCCCGGAATTGCTTTTGCTATTCTAAGTCTCTTCTGGTTTCAAATGAATTTTAGGAAAGTTTTCTCTAGCTCTGTGAAGTATGCTATCGGTATTGCAATGCATTAAATCTGTATAACAATTTTGAAGGTATGGCCCTTTTCACTATGTTGGTTCTTCAAGAACCAACAAGAAAGAGCAAGTGCTATCTTTCCATTTTCTGATATCCCCTTTGATCTCCTTTTTCAGAGTACTGTAGTTTTCAATATAAAGATGTTTTACTTCTTTTGTTAGATTGATTCCTAAGTATTTCATTGTTTTTCATGTTACTGTGAAAGGCATGGTTTCTGTAATTTCTTTCTCTGTGAGTTTGTTATTTATGTACAAGAACGCTATTGATTTTTGAGTGTTGACTCTGTATCCAGCTAGGCTATTGAATTTCATTATTAAATCTTTTGGTGGAGTTTTTTCTATGTAGAAAATCATGTTATCTGCAAATAATGGTAATTTAACTTCTTCCTTTCCTATCTTTATTCCTTTTATGTCTTTTCTCTTGTCTAATAGCTCTGGCTAATGTTTCCAGAATTATATTGAATAGGAATGGTGATAGTGGGCATTCTTATCTTGTTCCTGATTTTAGAGTAAAAGCTTTCAGTTTCTGACCAATTAGTATCATGTTGGCTGTCGGTTTGTCATAGATGGCTTTTGTCAGATTGAGATAAATACCGTATGTTCCAATTTTCTGTAGGATTTTTATCATGAATGGTGTTGACCTTTGTGAAATGCTTTTTCGGCATGACTTGAAATTATACTACAGAGCCACTGTGATAAAACCATCATGGTACTGGCAAAAACAAAAATAAAAACAGACCTGAGGATCAATGGCACAGAGTAGATGAAGCAGAAACAACTCCAAACACACTCAGCCACCTTATCTTTGACAAAGGGGCCAAACACATCCACTGTAATGACAGCCTCTTTAATAAGTAGTGCTAGAAAAACTGGCTTCCCACATGTCAAAGACTAAAACTAGACCCGTGTCTCTCAACATGCACTAAAGTGAAATCAAAATGGACCAAAGATCTAAATATTAAAACAGAAACACTAAATCTGGTGGAAGAGAGAATAGGTAGAACTCTTGAGGACACAGGTGTAGGAAAAGACTTTATGAACAAAATCCCAGTTGCCTGGGAAAGATTACAAAGAATCAACAACTGAGATCTCATCTTATTAAAAAGCTTTTGCAGGCTGGGGATTTAGCTCAGTGTTTCCGCTGCCTGCCTCACAAGTGTAAGATTTCATCCCGGGTACTAAAGAGAAAAAAAAAAGCTTTTGCACAGCAAAGGAAATCAACAATGGAGTGAAGAGACAACTCACAGAGAGGACAAAAATTTTAGCCAATGGTTCCTCAGACAAAGGACTAATATCTAGAATATATAAAGAATTAAAAAAAAATCAGACCTCCCCCAAATTTAAAATCCAAAAATGGGCACCTGAGATGAATACACACTACTCAGATGAAGAAGTAGAAATGGTACATAAATATATCAAAAAAATGCTCAACATCACTGGTCATTTGAGAGATGCAAATTAAAACAACATTGAGATTCTCTTTCATTCCAGAATGAATGGCTATTATCAAGAAATCAAAGGGCCGGGGATTTAGCTCAGTGGTTCCGCATGCCTTGCAAGGGCAAGGTCCTGAGTTTGATCCCTGGTACCAAAAAAAAAAGAAAATGAAATCAACCAATAACAAAAGCTGCTGGGGTGGTGGGGAAAAAGGTACCCTTCTCCTCTGTTAGTGGGAGTGTAGACTGGTGCAACCACTGTGGAAATCAGTGTGGAGATTCCTAAAAAAAACTAGGTCTAGAGGTTCCATTGAACCAGCTATTCCTCTTTCTGGTATCTCCCTGAAAGAAAAACATCATACCACAGCGATATATGCACACACATGTTTAGAGCCACACAGTTTGTAATAGCTAAATCTTGGAAACAGCCCAAATGCTCATCAACTGATGAATGGATAAAGAAAATGTGGTTTGCTTTTTATATGCAATAGAGTACTACCCAGCCATTAGTAGGACACATGAGATATTTCTAGGTAAACGGATGCACCCCGAGACCATACTCTTAAGTGAAATAAATCGGACACAAGTGTAAATATCACATTGTTGCTCTGGTGTGAGAAACTGAATGTGTAAATAAGGATCAAAATGTATGAGATATTGTGAAATAGAAAGAAAACGTTTGAATGGGAAGGGGAACTTGGCTGGTGGGATGGGGAAAGGGAAGAAAGGAAAAGAAAAAAAATGAGCAAAGAAGGATAAAATGGAAACAAAGCTTTTGTAAATGAGAGGAAAAAGAGTTGAAGGGAGGGGAGGGGAATGGAAAAAAAGAAGTATCATGTATAGGTACAAATTCCCTATGATGAATGTGATCATTTTACATATCTAAATTGTACCAATAAACTTAATTAAAAATAAAGGGTGATCAGAATGTTTTAAATAAATGAATGAAAACAAATAAAAAATGGAAGAAAGTGAAAGGCACAAAGGTGGTTATGTCATGTCTAAGGTTTTATTCAGTCCTTAACTACTGGTATCATTTGTTCTTTACATTTAAAGAGGGCATGTGTATATAAAAGAACCAAGACATTTATTGTACTGCCATTTTCCCTTCCCAGTAAATAAATCCAGGAAAAGAGAATGAGTGA